AGTGGGACCCGAGCACCGGCCATAGCTGCTCCTGGTCAACTGCACTCTGATAGGGGGAGAAAACAGAGATTATAATCCCCGATGACAGGGAAACCGTGTTGCTCCATCCTGCAATGTTGACAGAAAGACCAGAGGGACTAGTTATAGGTGATAACTAGATTTTAATCTGGCAGATTATTGCATTTGTTTCATAAAACCCCAGACACATTGTATACATGAGCAGATAGTCAGCACAGTTAACGAACACAGCTGTAACTGTCCGCTGATATAAAATGTAGCAAGTTTAACTATTAAAAGTGGTTTAACTAAATAACTAAAATAGCTCAGCTTCGTACTTAATGCTGACAAAACAGCTCGTTTATACATTGCACCCCCTGACTCGGTTAACACTGTCCCCATGAAGAATAATGTTACACTTTAACTCGTGAAACTCGCACATTTAGGCCATTTATCTCCCGTAAAACCAGCTACGTGTTGAGCTGACATGACCTGTTCAACAGCGGTTTCCGAACAAACTCTAAAACTAACCCAGCTGGCGATTAATCATAAGACTTAACTAAGCGGAAAGCGTGTTTTGAAAGCACTGCTCACCTCTAAAAACGTGGTTCGTTCGGACCATTTTCATCAAAGTTGACAGTTTTCATCGGTTTCGGTTCGGCCAGATGGCAGTCCGGTGAGCTTCCGGTCACGTGACTTGACAAGGACTGCTGGGAAACCGATTTCTCGACAGACGAAGGGGACATATTTTGAGTTATTATTTTCATGAGCAAGAAACAGTTGTTAGTCAGTGGGGTAATAATGTTCAGATTAATTTAGTTATAGCATAACCCTCACCAAACACGTAGCTTTGGATTAGTGAACCAAAAGCCGCTAGTTAATGTGATTTATAGGTTGTTCTGTGCTACGTTCATGTTTACTACTTAAAAAATAACCTTCATTAGCCTGTTTGTGAAACTAATCCGAACGTGGATTAGCAAACCTTCACAACACATATATAATATTAATGTTCAGCTAACGGAAATGTAGCTGTATCGACCTTTCACTTCGTTCCAAGTAATTTCCTACGTCCATGAACGCAACGTCACCGTAACCCGTTATTTGTTGGTTACCCGGGCAACGCTTACTACGAAGTGTCTTCCACCAATCACAAAACAGGATATTGCAAAACAGCCAATCAGAGCCATTCTTTGTCGAGCCAAACCGCCGTCGTGCTCCTCCATTGACAAAAGTCGAGATTTGTCAGGAATCATGAGATTCATATGAATCTGAGACTTAAAACTCGACGCGGTTTCAGGTTCTGGGCCTTCTAAGACTCGGACGTTGTCTAAGCGCTCTCGTAGCATCTCTGAAGAATGATAACCCGACATTCCCTGCCTCCGCCTGTTCACGTCCACGTACCGGACACTACACCAGTACACGTCCATATGAGGAGGAGTCCCGACAAAACCACACAGGTTTCTGCTGCTTTCTAATACGTCTGGTGTTTAGATTTGCTTCTAGCACAACAACAGTCTGTCTAGGTGATCATGCTTTAAATAGGCATTAGCATCTGCTGGTCATGTTCCCCTCGACCATACTGCATTAAGGCTGTCTTTAAATAAAGAATAAAGGAGCTTCTAAAAAGCTTTGTTTCTAAAACCAGGCTAAAGATGTGAGAGGAGCTGGAGGGAGGCCAAAGATCCGGACACCTTGGATTCCTCCAGGAAGACCTTCTTCTAGAAGAGACATGATGGACTCCTACAAGCCTCAGGTCTCCTTGTGGTGGTTTTCTCTCTCCCTTTTATGCTTTTTATTCATTCTAGTCACTGAGAAATTACTATTATGGAGAGGATGAGGGAATGTTGTGGTTTCAGCAGATCACACGAATCTGAACAAAGCTTAAGAACATCAAATCAAACCTGTCCGCCATTCTTTCAGTTCCAAGGGAGCTTTAGGTTTGTGCACAAGTAAGTAAACAGGCTTTGGAGTCCTCTGCTCTGACTCAGAACAGCACAGGTACAGGTCATTTATCCTGCAGGTAGAGCAGTGTTGCACAAACCCAGAAGAATAAATGATGTTTGTTGATTCTAATTTGATCAAACAGAATGAAAACTGCACACAGGCAAATTAAGAAAACCATAAGCATGTTTACATATGCTCTGATTCCAGAATATCAACACGCTGCTGTGTTTTGGATGGAACGTCCAGTTCAATGATTTCATGTATGAGGCTGTTTCTGTAACCTTTAGACAAGCAGAATCCAACATGCAGCTGAGAGCGGGATGAGGCATCAGCAGGAGGACGAACCGGCCAGAGCTTCGGAGGGCCTCAGATTCCTGCTGAGAGAACAGGAGAACCTCCGTCGTTCCAAAAAGTAAGAGGTCACGGGGGGGGGGGGGGGTCGTGCATTCTCAGTGTTGGCTCTGAGGCTGTGGAGTGAACTGCCTTTAACCGTGCGCCAGGCACCCTCGTTGCTGATGTTTAAGTCCTGTTTGAAGATGCATTTCTAAGTTATGGCTTTCCAACAGCAGATGTCGTAGCGTGGCTTCATTGTCCAGCGTGCAATCTGGTCTTTTTATTGTGTTTAATGCTTTTCATGGTTGCTTTACACTGTTTTTACGTGTTTCTTATTGCTTCTCGTATTGTTCAGCACCTTGGGCATCCCACACACACACACACACACACGCACACGCACACACACACACACACACGCACACACACACGCACACACTCATGCACACACACACACACGCACACACACACGCACGCACACATGCACACCCACACACACGCACACACACCCACGCACACACACACGCACACACGCACGCACACACGCACGCACACACACACGCACACACTCATGCACACACACGCACGCACACACTTGCACACACACACACGCACACACACACGCTCGCGCGCACACACACGCACGCACACACACACACACACACACGCACACACACACACACGCACGCACACACACACGCACGCACACAAGCACACCCACACACACACCCACGCACACACACACACACGCACACACACACGCACACACACACACATGCACACACACACACACACACTCATGCACACACGCACGCACACACACACACACACGCGCACACACACACGCACGCGCGCACACACACGCACGCACACACACACACGTGCACACACACACACACACACACACAGAGACAGACAGACAGACACACACACACACACACATGCACGTACACACACACACACGTGCACACACACACACACACACACACACAGACAGACAGACACACACACACACACGCACACACAATTCTGGTTTCCAGCATTTGATGATGTTTTTTTCATACTTTGGTGAAGCAGCTTTACGCATTTGCATTTTTCAGCTGTTCCTAACTTTCTGCTCCCTTTAGGCCCGACTCCGGGGGGCAACACAAAGACACAGACATGCTGCTGAGGGCGCTTGTAGAAGCAGAAATTGATGGCATGGCTGTGGCCAATCAGCTGACAGTCCTGAAGGAAACCATCAACAACCTCTCAAAGGTGTTGTGGCGATCTGAAATATTTACATTTCAGTCATAAAGGCCAAACTTTGAACCCATGAACTCCAATTTTATTGTTTGTTTGTTTTTATTTTTCAGGAGAAACGTCTGTCGAAGCTGCACTCAGCCTCGCTGGGGCGGCAGCAGGAGCTGCTGCTGGAAAAAATAGGAATGTTTGAAAACACGAATCGCAGCCTGCGAGACCTTCTGAGAGAGTGGAGCGAGTATGAGGTACGGGAACGAGTGAGCATCCGTGTGCTTTCCTTTCCACCCCTGACCTTCGGTGTTCCCACAGAGAGAGTGGTTGGTGTGGTCCGTGGAGAACGAAGCCCTGAGGAAGAAGCTGGCTGACAGGGAAACACAAAATATTGTAATTGGAACGAACTTTTCTTCATAATGGCTGTTTACTTCATTCACCGTTGAGATTTTTCTCCTCTTCTGCCAGAGACTTTTTGCCAAACTCACCAACAAAGAGAAGGAAGCCTCCAAGCTTGCTGAGCACTTGGACTTTGAAAAAGTTTGTAATTTCTCGACAGACCGACTCCGTTTGTTTCTAAAACTCCTCATTCATCCTGACTTTGAGTCAAAAGAACGACGTTAACCACACGTTTAATAAATACAACAAATCTGTGTCCTGGCAGGACAACGTGAAGACGACTGAGGAGCTGTCCAGAGTCCTGAAATCGACCCGCAGCCACCTGGAGTCTCAGCTGGACCGAGCCGAGGCCCAAAACACCCAGCTGACTGCTCAGATTCAGGTTAGAAGAGTAAAATGCTGAAGCCATTTAGATTTTCTACGGGTCGGGGTCTCTCCCACTGAGGAGACGCCGGGCAAGACCTACCACTTACTGGAGAGGTTACATAAGATATGGGAAAAGCTTGGGATCGCCCAGGAGCCAGAGAGGGGAATATGTGAGCTTTTCTCCTGGACCAGTTCTGTCCACAACCCAACCTAGTGTAGAGCGCTGCAGTCGGAGCCACGTGGGATCAGAACCTGTTGAGTCTGGTTGTGTTGCAGGAAGCTGACTGAGCTGAGCCCTCAGCTTCAGCTGGTGAAGGAGAAGAGCCGGACAGAGAGGGAGGAGCTTAGAGATCAGTCTTTCTCTACAGAAACTGGAACATCTGGCATGTAGAGATAAAAAACTAACAGCAACAACTGATTTTACCCCTGGGGAATGAATGGAATCATCTAGAAAACGATTGTAGAAGTCTCCTCGTGACCCGGCGTAAAGCGCTGTCTCCACAGAATTATAGGGAGTGGCTATATGGCTAACAGCTGATGTTAACCACGCACATCTGCCTGTCCTCTTCTCCTCACGGCGGTGGCAGGAGATGCAGCAGAGTCACGAGCAGAAGCAGAAGGAGCTCTGCGCCCTGCAGGCGGAGCTGCAGACTCTGAGGCAGCAGAGGGAGGAAAAGGAGCAGAAACAAGAGCAGGAGGAGCTGGTCGTGGTCGCACAGAGAGCCCAGCGGGCGGAGGAGTCCACCAGGCAGCTCACGCAGAAACTTCAGGAGAAGGTCAGTGTGCACGGACACTTGAAGGGTGGCAGAGGTTCACCCCATCACCGGTGGGTTGCTGGTTCAAACTCAGGCTCCTTCGGTGTCAGTCGGGTTCTTGGGCAAGACACTTGACCCGTCCCCCACCCCCGCCTGCAGGTGGTGGTCAGAGCTGCTTCTGTTGGAGTGACCCCAGGGCAGCTGTGGCTACGGTGTAGCTCATCACCGCCGTGGGTGAATGGATGAATGATTCACTGTAGTGTAAAGCGCTTTGGAGTCCTCTGACTCGGACAGGTGTCGTACAGCTGGAGGTCACTTGTCCTCGTTAGAGTCAGAGTCTCACCATCCAGGAACAAATCGAGTGGCTGCTTTTGTTTGTTGAATAAAAAAGTTGAGCGTGTCTAAAACCGTACAGCTCCCCTGGTTCTGATACTTGTTTTGTCTCAAAGGAGGCCCAGCTGTCTCGAGCTCTGTCCACGTCCAGCGACTGGTGTCTCCGTCACTCGAAGGAAGCAGCAGCTAAAGGGCAGCTGGAGCAGGAGACCTCGGCTCTGCAGATGTGAGCTCACAGCAACGCTTCAGCTTTAGCTTGGCTTTAAAGACATTTTTCACATGATCTCATTTCATTTTGATCCCCGTTAGCTGCAGCTTGCACGGCTACTCTCCCAGGAGTCGATGTAATCCAGCATAGAATAATACACGTACACAATAGTGTCATGGTTGAATTTACATATTATTTAATGAGCCAAAAGACGTGAGATTCCATAATAAATATGAAATCAACCGTATGGATCTGTGGGTACTGTTTAAACAGAAGATTGGAACTTTTTATTGCAGGGATTAGATAACAGCTTCGTATTAACTCAGAGACAACAGGAGAGTCAAGTTGTAAAAGTTTAAAGATTTATTACTAAACAAATTAAAACTAGACTAACTTTAAACACTAAACGTGTGGTGTAGCTAAGGTGAATGAGACGGTGGATGGGGTGAGGTGTTATGTTGCCCAGAACCAGCAAATCCGTAGAAACGATTAGTTCTGGTGGGAATGAAGGTGATGTCTTCGCGCTAAGCTTTGGTTAGGAGATTCGTAAACACATTCGACGCCATTCTGTCGGCCTACGTACTCTACAGGAAGTCCCCGTTAGATCAGGAATGTCGAGGTCCAGCTTGACCCTCTCTGGAACCGAAGCCGGTAGGAAAAGCAGCGGTTGCCGACCAGAACAGTCTTTGAGATACTTCCGGGTCACGACAGTTTTGTTGGCGTCTAGCGAGACCCAAAACTGGGTCGTGATGGTTCAGCTTTTATTCTGAAAGGAACCGTCGCAGCAGGTGGAACAGCAACAGGTTTTATCCAGCTTGTCGTTGGTTCTTTCGGCTGAAGAGGAAAGTTACGGATTGGACACTCCGACAACTTCTCTCGAACGCTTTGAACTGGCGTTAAAGATGGCGTGGGCATAGTTTTACAATTCAGATGTTTTGGTTTACGGTCGAATGAAAAGGTGACAGATTTACTAAGCACCACCGAAACCACGCCTCCGTCAGATCTGGCAGATTCTGATTGGATCAGTAAAGCAACGTGTCATGTCTTAACGCTACGCGAGATCAGTCCTAGTGGAAACATTTAAAGTCATATTACTTATTATATTCTATAGGATTATATAAAGTAATTAATATTTTGATTTCACAGATTGGTCACATCTTATTATTGACTAACACTTTGTTTGATTAGCTTTATTAAAATAAAGTTCTTTGATTAATTAAAAGGAGAGTCCTTTCTTCATTCTTTTGTTGAGCTGGAAAAAAGCAGTTTATAACAAATGCATGATACCTTGAGGCCATATCTCACGCAGACATGGACATAAATTTTTTTTTGGGGGGGGGGGACAGGGGGGGACATGTCCCCCCACTTTTTCCAAAGTCAAGTTTTGACCCCTGCACTTTTTACCATCCAAAAACAATATTACGCTATATTAAATTGACACTGGTTGAGCTCTAGGACCAAGCGGAAAACAACCGTTTGTGTTGAAGCCTGTTTCCTATTAGAGCATACTGTAAAGGTGCCCCCCCCCCCACACACACACACACACACTTCTAAAGTGAAAATTACGTCCATGCATGCAGATTAGTTCTGTGTCAGAGGAGAGGGGGAAAATGGAAAACAGTCATTTCATTCTGTTACAATAGTACTCCTAGAACAAACACACAGCATCCCGCCCCTACTCACACACTAGCATTTACAGACAGTCTATCTGACCCTTACAGTAACACTACTACTTCAGCCTAGACTCTAGTGACTCTACACAACAGATGACACTTTTAATCCTCTTCAGCTCGACATTAAACTCATATTTACTGCTTGCTTCAGCAATGTTACCGGGCAACGCTATACTCTATAAAAAGTCCATTTAACTCATAGTTTCACACTATTATGCTTTTCATTCTATTTGTTATTTGCTCTAAATATGTCTTCATTTTCTCCAAATGTAGCTGTTTACAGCTTTTCTCCGTAAACGGCCGGTTCAGCTGCGATGGAAGGTGTTCGGATGTGTTGTGTAAACGAGGAGAGTCAGACCTCTGGCCTGGGTCGTGGTGACGAACCTGCTGAATCTGGTTGTGTTGCAGGAAGATGACCGAGCTGAGCGCTCAGCTTCATTTGGTGGAGGAGAAGAGCCGGACGGAGCGGGAGGAGCTCAGAGATCAGCTCCTTCAGCTGAGCGCTGAGAACGCCTCCATAAAGCTGGACAACCAAAGACTCAGGGTACCCCCCAGGAACGCCAGAATAAATAAATGTATTCTGCTGATGAAGAGTAACTGGAACCTTCTGCTGTTCTGTGTCTTTTTTAAACGTAACCAATAACTAGAGTGAGCTGACGTCATCTGAGGAGAAGTTTAGAGGGTTTCACGCTGAAGCTCGACGCCTGAAATCGTCCATCCTAAAGTATGAAAACCTGGTGGAGAAATACAAGAAGAAGGTACGTCGAACCATAGGAAAACAACCCTAAATTAAAACTCAGCAGCACAGGAGGTAAGAGCTTGTGCCATTATCGGAAGGTTGCAGGTTCAAGTCCCGCTCAGTCTGTCGCTGTGTCCTTGGGCAAGACACCTAACCCTCCTCGCCTGCTGGTGGTGGTCGGCGGGACCGGTGGCGCCTGCGTACGGCAGACTCTCCTCTGTCAGTGCGCCCCTCTGCAGCTGTGGCTACATGTCGTCTTCCTCCGCTTATCCGGGTCCGGGTCGCGGGGGCAGCATCCCAACTAGGGAGCTCCAGACCGTCCTCTCCCCGGCCACCTCCACCAGCTCCTCCGGCAGGACCCCAAGGCGTTCCCGGACCAGATTGGAGATGTAACCTCTCCAACGTGTCCTGGGTCGACCCGGGGGCCTCCTGCCGGCAGGACATGCCCGTAACACCTCCCCAGGGAGGCGTCCAGGAGGCATCCTGACCAGAAGCCCAAACCACCTCAACTGGCTCCTTTCGATCCGGAGGAGCAGCGGTTCTACTCCGAGTCCCTCCCGAATGTCCGAGCTCCTCACCCTATCTCTAAGGCTGAGCCCGGCCACCCTACGGAGGAAACTCATTTCGGCCGCTTGTATCCGCGATCTCGTTCTTTCGGTCATTACCCAAAGCTCATGACCATAGGTGAGGATTGGGACGTAGATCGACCGGTAAATCGAGAGCCTGGCTTTCTGGCTCAGCTCCCTCTTCACCACGACAGATCGGCTCAGCGCCCGCATCACTGCAGACGCCGAACCAATCCGCCTGTCGATCTCCCGATCCCTCCTACCCTCACTCGTGAACAAGACCCCGAGATACTTAAACTCCTCCACTTGAGGTAGGACCTCTCCCCCGACCCGGAGTTGGCAAGCCACCCTTTTCCGGTCGATAAAATCATTGCTGCTACTGGGAAACCTTAAGGAGTTGTTCTGCTTTGTTTGATTCAGGAAATCGTAACATATGCAGACAAGTCTGGTGTTGTGGTTTCACTAAACGCACCTGTGCAGGTGCATCAGGCTCGTCTGGATTCAGAGGAGTGCTACCTGAAGCTGGAGATGACTCAGAAGGAGACGCGAGAGGTGAAGGAGAGCCTCGAGAAGGAGAAGGAGCAGGTGCGACAGGAGCTGCTGGTCCGACTCCGGGAGCTGGAATTGCTGCCGGAGAAGCTGAGGAGGACAGAGCAGCAGCTCCGAGAAGCCCAGCAGGAGGCCGAGGTCTATGAGAGGAGGAATACGGAGCACAGCGCTGCACTGTCGGAGGTCCGACTCAAGGTGAACCAGAAGATATTTCTCATTTTCTCTGTTTTCTTCTGCTCTTCTCGCTTGTTTCACTTCAGACTCTGTTAGCATCAGCAAGCCAAGATCTCCTCGCACCTGCAGCACCACTCAACTCAGAGTGCAGTTCTGTTAAATGTGCCTGAAATGTTGCTTTTCATCATGATTTAGTCCGAGTATAGCAACAGTGCCGAGGAATGGAACGCTTCCTGTTACATCCTCTGAGTTTCTCCACAGGTGGAGCAGCTAGGAGCTCAGATGGAGACATCTCAGCAGAGAAATCTGCTGCTGCAGGAGGAAAACGGCATCCTGAGGGAGAAAATGACCAAATTAGAAAGGTGACAAGTTGACCTTTTTCAGCAAGAAAAATACATTTTAAAGGGACTTTACGGAGTTTTGAATTTTTATGCTCGCGATTGCCCCCTCAGGCCAAAAGCGTAACGGCAGCTTCAATAGTAGGCTCGTGCACGAGGCGCGCATGCTGTACGTGCACACTCCTTAATGAAAATAACAGCTGAGACAGTCCCTTGTGTGTGTGTGTGTGTGTGTGTGTGTGTGTGTGTGTGTGTGTGTGTGTGTGTGTGTGTGTGTGTGTGTGTGTGTGTGTGTGTGTGTGTGTGTGTGTGTGTGTGTGTGTGTGTGTGGTCCGGAGGACAGAGGACAGGAGAACGCGCAGCTCTTTAATTAAATAATTTGGTTCTGTACCTTTCTCTTCAGCACAGCCGGCAAAGGTTTATGATGGGTCAGTCCTCCTGCATGCTCAGATCATTCCCTTCCCTTGCTTGAAAATTTGAAAAAATTTGGGCATCTTACTGTAAAAAAATATACCATTAATGTAAAAAAGAAACTCTAAATAGACTATGTTCACATCCAGCATCAAACCCAGGTCTTCTGCACGGGAGTCCAACGTCTTACTAGGTGAGCTAAAGCACCAGTGACGTCCTTTGTATCTGTAACATTTATATCCTTGATGACAGCTGAAACAACGTCAAACCAGAGAACGGTTCGGCGCGAAAATGGCTATTTTGTTGCTAATTTGCAGGAAATATCTAGAAGAAAGTTCTACAGAAAGTAGCTAAGGGTCCTCAGAAATGTAGCTAGCTTTGTCACTAGGCGTTAGGAACAGCGACAAAGTGGCACTGCCTCTCTCTCTGCTGCTAAAGCTACGGATAGCAAATGCTACGGGCGATGCCTGAGCGTGAACGCGCATGAAGCAGCCTGCTCGACCCAAGCATCTCTCTTTTTCTGTGGTTTTACAGAAAAACAGGCATTCACAGTAAAAATGCCAGGGCTCATTCTACAGGACCAGGGCATTGCAGGAGAACTATGAAGAAGACATTTATTATTTCTTTACATGTTTTGGCTGTCACACTTCCATAATGTCCCTTTAAATAAAACATTTCTTTTCTTTTGTGATTTCATCTCAACATTAATCCAGTTTTTGTTCAAATATTTGGAGTTTGTGGTGTTTATTGTTAAGATTTACATGCGTGAGTGAAAATGCGTCAAGGATTATGTCCAAATATTAAACATTCCTTCTTGACTCAAGGGTTAAATGAGTAGATTTAGGTTGTTGAAGGTCCGATCTGTTTGTCCCTTTTGTAGGAAGCTGGATAATGTCACAGCAGAAAACAAAGAGATGTCCCAGGCTCTGGTCTCAAAGGACGGACTTACCTGCAGCCTGCAGCAGCAGCTGGAGGAGAAGACTCGCGAGTGCAGCATCCTGTCCCGACAGCTGAAGCAGACTCTAGATGATGCTCAGAGACAGGTCCGAAAAGATGGAGATGTTCCACGTGCTCATCGTGCTCAGATCTCTCCTTTCACTTTGTGAAGAACTCATTTCTGCCTGCAGGTGGATGACAGCTTACAGAAGCTTTTGACCAAGGAGAGAGCATCTCAGTCCAAAGCGTTGGAGCTGCAGAGCCAGCTGAGCCGAGCCAACACAGACCTGAGTCAGCTACAGAGAAGCAAGGAAGAGGCAGGTCTCCCACCAACACATGTGCTCCATTAGAGACAGCGAAGAATAAACTAAATGTTTTATTTGTTCCAGATGGAGCGTCGCTTTAAGACTCAGCTGCAGAACTTAAAAGAAAGGCTGGAGCGGTCTGACTCTACCAACCGCAGCCTCCAGAACTACGTTCATTTTCTCAAAACCTCCTATGGAAACGTTTTTGGTGACTCTTTTATTGGAAGTTGATGCGTTGTCATTTTTACCAAAACATTGCTAGATCTAAATTAACATCAAAAATTCATGAATTTTACTAATTAAACATTTTATAAAATAGTTTTGTCTGACATTTTTATTCCCAGAACTCCAGTGGTGATTTTTCTGAATGGATCTCAGAACTTCTGCTGCAGATTTTTAAGGGAAAATCCTTTTTTTTTCAGTACTTGAGATTAAACATTTTAGAGTTACATCTGATATTTATTCATATTTAGCCATTTCTCGGTAAACCTTATAATTTAATTGACAACTTATTGCTTTATACAAAGTTTAAAAATCACTCAGCATTTCTTTAGAGTAAAAGATTTATTTTTTTCTCTCCATTATTGTTCTAGATTTATAAATGTAACGTTGCAAAACAAATGAAACCAAAAACAAATGAAATGATGTAAAAGATATCATTCTATATACTATTATATAGAATTATATATTTAAAGAGCAAGTCACCCCCTACAAGCAACTTACTTCACTCCCTTTTCATGTTTGAAAAATGCAACAAATGCTGTTGCCTAGCAGACCGAGAAGGCATTGTGACATCATAATGTACCAGTTTACATCATAGCATACCTCTTAGCCAATAGCGGTGGCAGATTTAAATTCAAATGCAGTGCAGAGATTTTACCTGACAACGGCGCAACACTGAGTTTTAGGCAGAATATTTAAATTTTATTTAAGATGCACTGAAGTACCAAATTATTGATGACACGTGTCTGCAACACAATTTGACACACATTTATACAGTTTATCAGCAAAAAAAAGTTGATTTGGGGGTGACTTGCTCTTTAAATTCCCATCTCACGTGGTCTCTTCCTATGCTCGGGTCCTCCACCAGAGGCCTGGGAGCTTGAGGGTTCTGCAGTTTCGTGTTTTTCTGGGATCTGCTTTAGCCACTCCTCAAGTCTGGGGTAAGGGTTAGGGTTTGATGACCACCTATGTCTTCACTCTCCAGGCTTGCTCAAGTTCTTCTTCGAGGTCCTGGTGCTTCTCTGGTTTCTCGTGTTCTTTTTCCCTGATGTTGTATCACAGACATTTAATTAAAAATATAAATATCTATATATAAAAACTTGGTATTGCCACTTAAACCACAACGCCAATCGTAGGAGAGCCCGTCTAGCCAGTCAGACGAAAAAGGCGGGACCTTCCTTGGACCTTCCCAACCGCGCGGCCGGGCAGGGGCAAAGGTGAAAGTGCCAAAGCGGAACCATAACCCACGGAAGACTGTTTCCTGGCGGACTGTTTTTAATGTAACCTCTTCGTTGATTCCACCACCCACCGCATTTGTTCCTCTTTTTTTTAAATTATAGCTTGTTTCAGGATGCCTTCCGAAAGTTTACGATGGGAAACTTTAGAGGCGTTAAAAAATTCTCCCAAAGGAAAAGTGGTGTTTGACCCTCGCTGGTCGGAACGGGGCGAGGTAAGAAGTTAGCTAGCGGCTAGCGCTAGTTTAGGTCAGTTCAGTTCGTTTTATTTCAAACATATACATTCACCAACATTTCATAAAATCATTCCATGCAGTTGTTTGACAAGGCTGTTTAGCTAACAGAACCAGAACTTAGCCTTTCTTCCGAACTCTCGGTGCAATTCACCAGAAAACAAACACAATATAACACGCTAAAGCAAAAAATGCAGAATAATAATCAGCACAAAAAGAGACAATGACAGTAGTGTGAAAATAAAGATATATACAAACGGTTAAATCTCTCCGAATCTTAACTGATTTAATGACTGTTTGCTTATGGAATAAAGGTCATTTATCAGTTTAGGGGATGGTTTACTTGGATTCAGAAGTTGTTTTATCTAGTCTAGCTGTGGGTTTGACCTGTGTCGTGTTCTTGTAGCATATTTTAGCTGGATGTACAGAGACCCTCGGGTTATCGTCACACGCCAGGGTCATACTGGAGCGGATCGATCCAGTGTCCCTACAGAAGTCCTCCTTCCTGGATCAGAGAATCACAGCAGAAGAAACTCCAGCCTCAGGTTCCTCTACAAGCTCCGTCAACGATCTCAAACACCGCATCCTCTCTTCAGCTCTTTCGCTAAACCATGATTACGACCAGGTACAGCACTTTGAATGTAAACTGCTCTGACTGGGATGTTTGTCTCTGCTGGAGAATCTTTGGATGAGCTTTTGTGAATACTTTGTCACCATCTCAACTTGATGTGCTGCAGACTGTTTGTGATGAGGTGCAGAGTGAAAGTCCAGAGGCAGATGACGTCAGCGACGTTTCCAATCCCGTGCCATTGCCTGTCATGTCCCTGCTGTCTCCTAAAGCCATGGAGACCGCCGGATGCATCATCCTGTTTGAAGAAGGGCAGCGGAAAAAGGCAAAGGTCAGGCAGAGATTCCTTTATTCTGCATCTTGGATATTTGTGGTCATAGAAGGTTTTTTAAAACCACAAACAACTATTTGCTTTGAGGATTTGTACAACCCCCACATACAAACAATTACAATATTTAAAGGGGCATTATGGAAGTGTGACAGCCAAAACATGTATAGAAATAATAAATGTCTTCTTCATACATTCTCCTGCAATGCCCTGGTCCTGTAGAATGAGCCCTGGCATTTTTACTGTGATTGCCTGTTTTTCTGTAAAATCACAGAAAAAGAGAGATGCTCGGGTCGAGCAGGCTGCTTCATGCACGTTCACGCTCAGGCATCGCCCGTAGCATTTGCTATCCGGAGCTTTAGCAGCAGAGAGAGAGGCAGTGCCACTTTGTCGCTGTTCCTAACGCCTAGTGACAAAGCTAGCTACATTTCTGAGGACCCTTAGCTACTTTCTGTAGAACTTTCTTGTAGATGTTTCCTGCAAATTAGCAACAAAATAGCCATTTTCGCTCCGAACCGTTCTTTGAACGTTGTTTCAGCTGTCATCAAGGATATAAATGTTACAGACACGAAAGACATTACTGGCGTTTTAGCTCACCTAGTTAAACGTTGGACTCTCATGCAGAAGATCCGAGTTTGATTCTGGATGTGAACATAGTTCATTTAGATTTTCTTTTTTACATTAATGGTATATTTTCTTACAGTAAGATGGCCAAATTTTTATTTGAGACTCGCCGAACGGCATTGAATTCACAAATAAAAAAGATGTGGGTTCAACTTTTATTCAGGAACAATTTTTCAAGCAAGGGAAGGGAATGATCTGAGCATGCAGGAGGACTGACCCATCTTAAACCTTTGTCGGCTGTGCTGAAGAGAAAGGTACAGAACCAAATTATTTAATTAATTAGCTGCATGTTCTCCTGTCCTCTGTCCTCCGGGCCACACACACACACACACACAAGGGACTGTCTCAGCTGTTATTTTCATTAAGGAGTGTGCAAGTACAGCATGCGCGCCTCGTGCACGAGCCTACCATTGATGCTGCCGTTACGCTTTTGGCCTGAGGGGGCAATTGCGAGCATAAAAATTCAAAACTCCGTAAAGTCCCTTTAAACTAGCTGAATTGGTTTTACCTCACCAACCATTAATGACCGGATTCGAGCACGCGGTGCTGTATGTTTTACTCCAGGCATGTCGTGTGTCTCCAAAACTGCACATTTGTTTCGAGAAGCTTGCTGTCTTCTCTTGACTTAGTACTTTTAAACACCTGCTAGTAGGGATGTAAGAAAATATCGATATGGCAATACATCACAAAAATGTTTCCTGCGATATATCGATATTGAAAAACCGTGCATCAAGTTTTTGGAAGAATTTCCGTGCAAACGTTTGTGTACTATTTTCTTTTCTTTTGGTGCAGTTCAAATGACGACCGCTAGTTGGCAGCAGTGTGCAATGAGTTTTGTTTCCACCACTGAAATGTAAATCCCTCTGTGGTCAGATACCTCATGTATCTAAAATTCTCTTTACCCCCAAAGTATAAAGAAGTCCATTTTAAAACCTTGAATGATATTTACCCATCTAACCATTTTATACAAACTAGATTTAAGTTCAATGTGGAAAAATGTTACTTATGCAAACAAAACGATGAATCGACCAAACATCTATTCTTTGAATGTGATAAAATTCTAATCATGTGGAATTCACTCGAGGATTGGCTGAACTCCAATCAAATTTATATAAACAATTTCACAGTTGAAGATATCTTATTTGGCATTATACTAAAAGATAAAAAGAATGAATTTCTAATTAATAATCTCATAATCTTAACAAAATTTTTCATACACAAATGCCGATATCTCAAAAATCCACCTACGTGGAATAATATCAAAAATGAAATTAAACTGCTGTTGAGATCCTTAGGTAAAATGTCCACCCCCAATGCTATAAAGCTTTATGATTTCATTATGAACACTAATCTCTAACTGCTTTTTGGATGGTATACACAATAGACCTTGTTTGCTCTTTAACTTCCCCCTTGTAAAACTTTATTTAGATACATATAATTTGTTTTTTCATGTTGTCTTACTTGTATCCTTTCATGTTCTATTTTTGTTTTTTTGTGGTTGTTATTTTTGTTTATTGTCTTCTTACTATACCAAGTTGAATTGTATCCACAAAATGCAAGTTGAGATGAACACGAACTTCGGAGCTACTCTGTAATGTCATTCTGCTAACAAATTTTGAAATATAGTCGCTTTTGTTCGTTTTGCAAAGGTTCAATAAAAGTTCTTAAAAAAAAGATACCTCATGTTAAACAGTTTGGACTGTTTATTGAATTGTCCTACAATAATTTCAGTCTAAAAAAGTAGTTAATATCGTTTGACTGAAGATATCGTATTGTCTCCCTTGTATCGTATCACTAGAATTTCACCAGCACACATCCCCACCTGCTAGTTGTCTGGAAACCTGGGAGGATAACCAAAGTCTTAGATTATTTTATTTTGCCATTTTAAAGAACTGTAAAGATGCATTTGACGGGTTAAAAAATGACATTCACTGCTTTGATTGTTTGTAAATAAGTCCAGTTGTCTTAAGAACCAGCAATTTAAATATTCTAAATAGTCTGACACAGATGACCTTTCAAGGCTATGCTTTTAGTGACCGACTGTCCTGTTTGTCCCGTGTCCTCCCTGCTTAGATGGCGCTCAGGTTGCGACAGGAGGAGCAGGAGAAGCTGGTGGAGGCTGCTGCCAACGCTGAGTCAGAGCAGCTAAAACGCTTTGAGGAGCTCATGGAGCTGAAGCAGAGGCAGGAGTTCCAGAGTATGAGGGACATGATGGACCGAGAGTGAGCACAGAGCAGCGTGGTGGCCAACACCTCTAGTTTTATGTTTCTGAGTGTTGTACGTGTGACCCAAACGGTCTGGCTTTCTGGAACTCTCTCCTCCAGTGGACTCAGTGGTCTCCTTTAACAAGCAGCTGAAAACTCACCTGTTCAGGCTTTGGTGTGACCTTTGTCACCACCCTCTCCTTATTCTGCTCTTTCTACCTATTCCTGGGATCCACTGATTTCCCTCTTTCCTGTTCGTTTTCTCTCTCCCTTTCCTTCCATTCTTTAATCACAATATTTTTTCTCATTTTAAAGAGCAAGTCACCCCCTACCAGAGTATTGCTCCGCTCCCACTTCATGTTTGAAAAATGCAACAAATGCTGTTGTCTGGGAGACCGAGAGGGCAGAGCCACTAACAAAAACACACACACACACAACATTGTGACATCATATGGTACCAGCTAACGTTCTAGGATACCTCTTAGCCAATAGCGATGGCAGATTTAGATTCAAATGCAGTGCAGAGTTTTTACCTGACAACGGCACAACACTGACAGTTTTAGGCAGAACATTTAAATTTGAACTAAAATGCACTAAAGTGCAAAACTATTGACTACACGTGTCTGCAGCATGATTAGACACGCATTTATATAGTTTATCAGGGAAAAAAAGTTGATTTGGGGGTGACTTGCTCTTTAAATATACCGTAAATCCTCTAATACAGGCCCGGGCCTGTATTTGACTCAAGCTCATCAAGCTCCAGGCCTTTATTGGAATGAGGGCCAGTATTAGAGGCATGCCTCAATTTCTATTTGAGCAAAATGAGCTAAAGGTTCGCTGGAGTTTTTGACAATTAATATTGCGCCCACATTTTCAAAGTTAAACACATTTCTTTTAACAACGGTAGTTTCTGCTTCAGCCATCTCCCCCCTGCGCAAACTCACTGATGCGCCTGCAGCCTCTCAGAGTTCCTGCTGCTCTAAACATTAAAATAATTATTTCATTTTCTGTTCCTCACTTCTGATTACCTTCAATGGTGTCTGTTTGTTGCAACCACCAGGTACAAAAACTAACTTGTTTTTATTTGTCTATTTTTTTGTCCTGTTTATTATCTTCCTGCATCTCCTCTCAATCCTAAAGAGAAACTGCTACCTGGGTTCATATATATTCACCTTATGAGTTACCTTTGAACTGCAGTTCTAAAAGATCTACCGACCGCAAAAACAGCAGAGTGCTCGCTGGCCGCATCAGTGGTCGGTGCGTCACCGGAGGACAAAACAGGTGATGCGCCCCGATCCACAGCAGCGAAAGGCATCAGGCACAAATAAAAGAAAAAAAGACAGAAAACATAAAAGGAAATGAGCCGACATGAACGATCGCGTGTTAAATTAGTTTTTGAGGTGGCGACGCCTGATTTGATAATGTTACTGTGGCCGTGCTCAGGACGCAGATGTCTGGAGCACGTCAACAATCAGAGCTTTGCATGCGCAGGCTGGTTAAGGTTAGGATGGGGGTGAGGGGAAGGTTAAATTGCAAGAGGGTAAAGGTCACAATTTGGTTAAATGTCCGTTTTACGGCGGGTGTCGGTACCGACGCTCTGGCACAGCGCGTTGCCTCCCGACGCGCAGGAGCTTGTCACCTGCTGACAGCAGGCTGCTGTCTTTTCCGTGGACTACATCTTGCCGGTCATTATCACGTGACAGCGACTAGTCGATGACAGGCATAAAAAGTCACTATAGAGCGGTGAAGTAGACTAGTGACTAGTTCATACAACCCCTGCTACTGCTCCCCGGAGTGTTCTGCAGCATAATCAGCACGTTCTCTTTGAACTTGATATCAAAGGGATTTTCGCCTCCTCTTCGTCTCCGCACGGTTAAAGTTACCCTCGCGGTCTATCACTGGCAAATCAAAAGTGAGACGGATGACACAACCGCCCCCCGTACTTGCTTGTTACCACATTCCACCCGGCCACAATAAAAAACCGGCCATTATTCACCTCCGCCGACTCCGACACCGGCCAAAATATGATACCCGGCAGTTAATTAAATACAGGCTAATTAATATTAGAGGATTTACGGTATTTGTAATCTTTTTTTTTTTGTGTGTTTGTGAAGCGCCTCGTGATTTTTATCTTGAGAGGCATTATATAAAAGATAGTTTTCTTTCTTCCTTTTCAGAATCAAAGAGATCATGGGCCGTCAAGAGAAACTGAAGGAGGAGCAGAGGCACAGAACGAGGGTAGGATGAACTGTGTAGAAAGCACACGTTTAGTAGATTCTGTCTAAAGCTGAGAAAACAGAATAATACAAGAACAAAGGGAGAAAAGCAGAAAGGCACGTTTAGACCTCTGCAGAATGATCCAACTCTGACGTCAAGTTCTTTGTGTCGGTGTGCGTTAGTATTTATTCACTTGTTCTCTGTGAAAGAATAAAATCCAATAGACGACATTTTCTTTGCTCTTCAGCTCATGAACCTACGTTTAAGGGAGGCAGAGCTTGAGAAGCAGAGGCAGACGGAGGGCAGGGAGCGACTGCGTAACCTCAACAACATCCAGGAGGAGATCCTGCAGCTCAACCAGCTGCTGGAGCCGTCCTCCCAGACCGACTCTGAGCTCTCAGCCAGCAGCCTTGGCTCCTACAGCGCCCGCGGGAACCATCTGTGCTCCCAGGTTTCAGAGGTCGCGAGGAAGACGGCCGAGGTAGCCCCTGACTGTTCAAGCCCTTCGTCCTGCAGACATTTATAGCATAACAGCAGCTTTTCTCCTATAGAATCTCCTTCAGATGCATTTGATTACAATAAAATACATGAACATACACACAGCCCCTCTAAAGTTGTAGTATTTTAACCTTTTTCTGCTTTTCTCTCTGCAGGGGGAGTTCCCCAGCATGGAGGACATGACCGTGGCAGAGCGAACCCTCCTGGATATGAGAGCCCTGATCAGGCAGATGCAGCAGGAGCTGGTCCGAGCTCAGGAAAGAAAGAAGGAGCAAGAGCAGGAGGAGCAGCGCAGGAAGGAGGAGCAGGTTCAGGCACAGCAGGAGGCGAAGAGGAAGGCAGAGCAGGCGGCCAAAGAAAAGGCTCAGAAAAAAGGTGAATTGTTATTTCACTGAGGAGAAAAACGTCAAATACAGAGAATGATGTGTAAAGATGAGTCACCTTTAAAAGTACGTGGTATCGTCCTTATCCCGGGAGACTGGAGGTGATGAATGTAAGTGTTTCAAACATCCGTAACCAACTACTAATGCCTCCATCTAAACCGACAACTCCGATTCTTCCACCCTTAAAACAGAAGCCACGGCCTTTAGATTCCCGATAAAACCGCGTGTAAAGGCTCTCACCAGAACTCTCCCAGCAGGGCTGCAGAACAGCGCTGAAGACGGCACCATGAAGTGGTACAAAGAGCTGCAGAACTCTGCAGCTCGCTGCGCTCAGGCCTGCCAGCAGCTCCAGTCCCCCAAAGACGCCCAGGTGAGCCCACAGCAGTCGCACCTGCGGATGTGGCTACAGGGATGAGAAGACGTTTGTTTGCATCTGTGCTGCAGCTGTCGTGGTGGCTGTTGATGTTTCATGTAAAGATATCAGCCCCCACCCCGAATCTGCTCTGAAAGGACCTGTGTCGGGCTTCTTTAAACCTTTCAGACCAACGGGCATTAATAGGCTCATATATGAATAAAATATTGCCGTTGTCTCTGTGGTAATGTCAGAAGTTATTTTCTTCTGACATTTATATTTAGCAGATAGAATAATCAGGTTGTCTAGTAAAAGAAAATGTTTGTAAGTATTTCTTTACCGTTTTGGACTCAGACAAAAACATTGAAGCTGGAGCTCCAGAAAGCAGCCACCATCCCTGTCAGTCAAATCTCCACCAACTCCGGATCGCAGCTGCGAGAAATCTTCGACAGGATCGACAAGCTGCTGTCCGGACGGCCCGTGGTGTCCGGCGGGAGGTCGGTGTCCACCTCGCAGCATCCACAGGCGCTGGAGTTCGTCAGCTACAAGCTGGCTGAGAAGTTTGTGGTGAGCAGAGTTTCTAACGAAGCTGTTCCTCATGTTCAGAGGTCACTTTTTACCTTTTAGACGCTTCTGGAGTCTTCTTGTTCAACAGTCACGAGTAATACAGATGAGACGAGACAGAAAATGAGGTGAAAGCAAGTCTATTAAGCCAGATTCACAGGGAGGCGAGGACTGGAGTGCTGTGGGATTTTTGAAGGATCTTTTCCAGATCCGCTCTGGAGAAAGGTTTAATTTAGAAATGAGACCAGTTTAACCAGTTGGTTACAGAACCATTTAAAAGACATCGCAGAGTTGACTGTAACACCTAGCTTAGGCACACAGGGTTGGACACGAGATTAGAAAACCCGGGGACATCTTAGTCTGGCGTTTTGTCTTTACCCTTTAACCGCTTCATGTCCAACAAGCGGGTGATGAGTGACGATAACGTTTGAAGCTCGTTTGAACGTCATCATTATGGGAACGGTAAGATAGATTACCGAGAATGTGTCTGAATGAGAGCAAATTTTAAAGACACAGGACCCAGAACAGAGCCCTGGGGTACCCCGCAGGTACTGTGTCTGATTTATGCAAACATTAAAACTTGTGTCAGAAAGAAAACAAAAACCATTCCAGAGAGGCCGACAGCATCCTGGAGTCCCGTTTATCCGAGTACCGCGACCGACCGTATCAGACGCAGCCAAGAGATCCAGCAGGCAGTCACAGCCCCCCCCCAAGCAGGTTTTTTTTACAGAATCTAGACTCGCATTCCTCTCGGGTTGAGTGGTTCTCGTGGTTCTCCAGGAAGTCCAGCTTAGACACGGCTATGAAACGTCGCAGTTGGGCTCGGTGGAAGCTTGAAACATAATTTAGTGTCACGAGCCTCAACGGTGACCATTTCTCAGGATTTACAACGCAGCAAAGTCAAAGTCCTGTTTCCCCAGCGGGAGCAGCCCTGTGTGGCGCTCAGCCAGCTGAATCCACAGGAGGGAGGGAGATCTTGGGAGGAGCGCAGAGCACATTTGCAGTGGAAGGAGAGGTCTTATCCGTGAAGTCGTTTAGAGTCCGACGGACCAGAACTTGTTTTTTATGTAGAGCCGCTGAGTCTGGGTCGAACGTTCATGTGAAGGTTCAAGGAGCTCAATAAAGTTTTTTTATCTTTGCAGAAACAAGGTGAAGAGGAAGTAGCGTCTCATCACGAAGCAGCTTTCCCCATCGCCGTCGTGGCCTCGGGCATCTGGGAGCTGCACCCTCAGGTGGGCGACCTGATCCTGGCTCACCTGCATAGGAAGTGTCCGTATGCCGTCCCGCACTACCCCCCGATGAAGGACGGCACACCTGTGGAGGAATACCAGAGGTGAGTGGCTCGGGTATGACTGGATTGTTGCACTTCCCTTTAGAGGGCGTCTCTGAGGTTCGTGCTCCGGTCGTCAGGATTCTTGGTTACCGTGTAAACGACTCTGGGGTCGAAGGTCAGGACAGTTTTCTGAAGAGAATGTCTGGGATGATCCGACTCTACGCTGCTGTGATCCAGCTCCGGTGGCCCTTCGGCTCAAGACCAGGGGTAAAAACGGACTTCCTGTTGACCTTCTGGCTGCGGTGAGGTTGACGGTGTCGGACGCTGATGTGACTCGTTGCTCCTCAGGCGGTGCCTCATGGCCTGAACCACGGCTGGCGCTGGTTGGCTCAGATGCTCAACATGGAGCCTCTGGCGGACATCACTGCTACGCTGCTGTTTGACTTCCTGGAGGTGCGTTCCTCGAGTTCGGGGTCTTTTATTTATTTATTTATTTATTTATTTATTTATTGAGCTGGGTGTCGCCCAGAAACGGCGTTGAAGCGTCTTTCTAAAACGTAACTTATTCCAGCTTACTAGAGGATCTTGGTGCCTGAAAGGTGTTAATCCCAGCATATGTAAATGATATATTAGCATACTTGTTTACTTTCAGAAGCGTTGCCGTGGTTATGTTTTTTAAATAACAGGAGGCGTGAAACGACCCGATTTCTCATCCCAGCTTCGCGTTTCTCCTGTAATGTTTCATCCTGCGGTTTTTAGACGAGCTTGTGTTGATCTCCGTCAGGTTTGTGGTCACGCGCTGATGAAGCAGTATCAGGGTCAGTTCTGGAAGCTCATCCTGCTGCTGACACACGAGTACTTCCCCAGGTACCAGCTCACTCTGCGTTTAAAAGCCCAGCCGCCGGCAACGCGGCTTTGATTTGTGAAAACGTTTGTCTGCTTCCGCCAGAATCGAAGCCGTGACCAGCAGCGGGCAGATGGGCTCAGTCATCAGGCTGAAGAAGTTCCTGGAGGTTTGTTGCCTTAAATCACGAGCCGCACGCGTGTCGTGCGCTTTTACACCAACACACGATGATGAGCAGTAGGAAAGCCACTCCCATGCGGATTTTCTAAGTTTTGTTTTGAATTTCGTAACTAGTTATTTGGACCACGCGACTCGTTTCACAGCTGCTAAAATATGAAATACCAGCAGAAAGTTTTCTGGCTCTGAGGAACAAGAAGGTCCGGCAAACATTTGGATGTTAAATCTATGAAAATTAATGTATGGTATGCTTTTCAACCATTCAGAGAGGTGAACATCAGGGCATTAACGTCTAAACTATGTCTGCTATAATTCACATTTTATATTAAAATAGAAAAAATGCAATCCTGTTTTCTCCCTCAGTTGTGAAAGGTGCTTCTTAGAAGAAGGCTGGACTGATGACGGCAAGAAAATCTGCCAAACCTTTAAAATGTTCCATTAGACAACAAGAAAACAGACGAGAACAAACAAAAATAGATGTCTGAATTTGAAATAGGCTAAAGAAATGTGTTTAAAATGTACAAAAAGGTTAAATGGTGCAATTAAATACGTTTTTTTTTTCTGCAGTTTATCCTTTTTGCACCTTTTTACCAAATAAAACAACTTCCTTATGTGACACGTCCCATAAATATATTCGGACCAGCTCTCCCGTCCAAATAAGCCTCATTTATAATACGAGATGAGAGCTGGCCTACAAACAGGGGCGGATTTAGGACTGAAGAAGATCCGGGGCTTAACACACTCACACACACACACGTAACACGCACTAGTCTTTTCATAAAACATTCGGGGCTTGAGCCCAAGTAGCCGGGCCTAACCCAAAAATTCCACTATCTCCGCTCCGCTGCGCTCCGGCACAAATTCCGCAGCAAAAACAGTCCCATTGTAGTCAATCAGAGCTGTTCCACTACTGCGGCCGTGTGGCGCAGTGCGCCGCCCTCCGTTCCGCCATCCGGCAAAAATAGGATCGATTCTATTTGTGCCGGACGCCGGAGCACCTCCGCAGTAAATGGACAGAAATCACAACCGCCCAACAGGAAAGGGAGCAAGCACAACTTCCGTTATTTCACAATAAATTGATAAACAAAAAGCGTTTTTTGTTTCATGTGCACAGGTTTAACAACTTTTAACAACTATCAATGGCGGCTGAACTTTAAATGCACAAAAGTAAGCCATAAATACAGTTTCTACTATCAAAGTAGTCACACTTTGTTGATCCAAACACTGCTGATCTCTCAACACGAATGATGGGCAGATTCAACAGTTCATGCCGATGCTTCTCCCACACAACGGTGTTTGGATCTAACTTCCGTGTTTATTGCTCGGACTGTATCGCAAGATCTCGAAAATCCCACGCATGCCTGTTTGCCCACCTCAGGTCTCCGCACCGGAGCGGAGCCGTTGTAGAGCGGGTACAGTATAATTTGAGTTCGGAAGCGGAGGGCGGAGCGGAGATAGTGGAATTTTGGGGTAACGCCGCCCCTGCTAAAAAACCATTCATATTTAAATGGAGACATCTTCTGGAGTTAAGAAAGTAAAACACACACACACACACACACACAAGCAGCAGCAGCTTAGTATGCCATTAACAGCTGAATATGTTGTTTTTACACATGACCCCCACATAGATTTTATTTTCTGTGCAGACATCGCTGCAGAACCGACAGATCAGTCAGCCCAAAGGTCAGCTGAGCTCCACCTTCTGGAGGTCGTGATGGAGGTCGTGATGGAGGTCGTGATGGAGGTCGTGGTGGAGGTCGTGGAGCTTCATGATGTCTGTAAGACCTGAATAAATCAGACCAGTGTGGAAGCAGCTGCTGGTCTGGTGCCAGAGAGCTGTGGTTCTTAGCTAACCTCTCCGTGGGCGAATACACACTGAAGAGCTATTAAACACTTTTTTTGTACTTTTTAATTTTCTTCTCATTAGTAAAGGAACGTTTAACTTATGAAATATTTTCTTCTACATAAACAAATCAGATTTTTGCTGAAGCAGAATAAAGATCAGCATCATGGAGTGTTTCAGCTGAAATCTCTCCTAAATGAAGAAACTTTATCCAGGATGTGACGCACACACACACACACACACACACACACCTGTCCAGCCTACACCCAGGACTGTAAGCTGCTCATGGTTTATGTGCTGCAGCCTGAGCTTTGTTTGACTTTAGTTTATATCTAAGTTAGTTCTTTTACAGCTTCAACATTAACCGTGCCTGTGTAACAGATCTGGACTCGTTTTTTCATAAGTCCACCGTGTGGAACTAAAGGTTTGATCAGCTGTTGTTGAATCATTCAGGATGAAATTTGTTCAAATTTACAAAACTGTGCAATAAACAAAATGAGAATCCGCACACTTCAATCTGCGATGTAGGAGTTTACTGGTCAAGCTTTCGGTCAGAGACCTTCATCATGAATTCCGGATTCTCGTTTTGTTTATTCCACTTTTTGATCCAGCACCTTTTCCCAGATGAGCGGTGACTCCTTCTACAAAACTGTACAATAAAAACATTGAAGAAGAAATTAGATTTTTTTTGTCCAACCCAGTAAGTCCTCAAAATCCACTTGATTTTACTGATAAACTGTATAAATGAGGGCCTAATTGGTCTGTAGACATGTGGTCATTCATTACTTTGTTCTTCTTTTACACGGTTTAGTAAATGAAGTTTTTTTTTAACCTGACTTGTTTTGACTAACGCCTCTAGTCATCATCAGAGTTCGTCGGTGTTGGTGGCGTCCCTGTAGATTATGACTAGAGGCGTTAGTCGAAACATGTCTGGTAAAGTTTTTTTTTACTAAACTGTGTAAGAAATAAAGTAATGGATCCCAAAGTTAAACAGAATAAATGCACAAAAGATGTGTGGTCATTATTTTGGCATTTTAGTCCATCTTAAATGTTTCATCAGCCGTTGCTTCTGGATAGGAGTGCCCATGGCGTTACCTGTGCTGTCCTACGTAGCAGCAATGGACTGGACCGCCGCCGAGTCAGCCACGCCTCCGCTGGCTCGGAACCGCTTGCCTCTTTAGAGAAAAGTCGCTTGTTTTTTTTGTTTTTTTTCCGGAACTGCGCTGCCCTGGGCGGCTGCATGTTGGAGTAGCTCTGTTGACTAAATGTAAGTTTTGCCTTTTCTTGGACATTTTTTCTTCTGGTTTCTCAATAAAAACTGTATTTTTGGACACTTTACTTTTCTGTTTCTGGTGCTGTGAAGCTTGGAGGATTTTTGCTGCTATTTTTTAGCTTTTTTCACTTTTTGAGCATTTGTTATGATGCGTAACCATGGCAACGAGCTGGTTTACAATCGGGAGCAGCCGATTAACATTGGAAAGGCTGAAATAATACCTCAACTGAAGCCACAAATCCTAAATGAGCTAAAACGCAAGAAGCGTGGGTGCAGAGCGGGAGCAAAACGGAGACAGGGAAAGAGGAAATTCAAACCATCTCTTCCATCGATCATAATGGGCAATGAGAGATCACTGGCCAACAAGATGGAGGAACTCCAAGCCCTTTCAAGGACTCAGCCAGAGTTTCAGCAGTTTCAGAACCGCTGGAGGAGAAAATGCAAAGAAGGATTCTCCAGAGAATCAAGAAAATGATGGACAACCCTGAGCATTCTCTTCACAAGACTGTCCAACAAAAGAAGAGTGTCTTCAGTCAGAGGCTTCTTCAGTTTGGCTGCAACACTGACCGCTACTGGAGATCCTTCCTGCCAACAGCCATTGTAATATACAACAACTCTTTGATGACTTGATTATTATTATTATTATTCTGAGCTACTACAGCAATCAATGTCCCTCTGGGATTAATAAAGTAATTTTGATATGAATTGAAGAAATCCTCCAGCCTGCTGCTGTTTCCTCTGCTCCTCCACCTGAGCGCATACCCTCCAACCCTCCCGATCTTTCTTCTTATCCCTCTACACGTTTTTACTTTATAAAGCAACATAAGCGTGTGGTATTTATATATTCCATACAAATCAGATCACCATTAAAACTTCGTCCCACATACGGTCAGCTCCCTTGGTCCGCTGGGCGACGCTCTTTTTGACGTATTTTACAAGCAAGAGCTGAATGGTGACTTTTTCTTTAGAGATTTTTGTCCAAAATGACTTCCTATCTCTGGCTCCTTCAAAGGCAGTTCGAAATCTGGGTGTTGTGATTGATGAACACCTGACCTTTAAAGATCATGTTGCCTCTGTTGCTCGTTCATGCCCATTTGAGCTGTATAACATACGAAAGATCAGACCATACCTAACACATTATGCCACCCAGCTCCTGGTGCAATCTGTCATCTCCCGCCTTGATTAATGCAACGCCCTTCTAACTGGTCTTCCAGGCTGTACTGTGAGACCTCTTCAAATGGTCCAGAACGCAGCGGCGCGTCTGGTCTTCAATCAGCCAAAAAGAGCACACGTCACCCCTCTGTTCATTGAGCTACACTGGCTACCGCTAGCAGCACGCATCAAATTCAAATTGCTAACACTAGCATACAAAGTCCGAGATGGTACAGCTCCCATCTACCTGAATCCTCTTGCAAAGGCTTACGTCTCGGCCCGGCTGCTCCGGTCATCACAAGATCGTCGGCTAGCAGTGCCTACACCACGCTCAGGATAATCCAGACTCTTCTCATGCATCGTTCCACAAATGTGGAATGACCTTCCAAGCACTACCAGAACAGGAGCTTCCTTTTTAACTTTCAAGAAACTCCTGAAGACCCTGCTCTTCAGAGAGCATCTTCTTAACTAGCACCCTCCCTGCACCCGTCCCCCTCTCTACTGTCCACTCCTTTGTTCCCTCCTCTCCATGATTGATGTCAAGTTGTTGTTATTGTTGTTGTTAGCCTCAAGGGCAACATGCCGATTATCACTTGTAAGTCGCTTTGGACAAAAGCGTCTGCTAAATACATAAACATAAACAAATGAAGAACATTAATGAACATTTACCGTCCTGAATGTGGGTTTGCTTCCAGGCAGCAGCTGGTGAATCAGAATCAAACCTCAGTTTGTTCAGTTTAGTCAAATCTTCTAAAATAAATCCAGAACACACGGTTTGCTTTTTATTGCTTCATACAGTTTAAATACATTAAGCAGCAAGGTACATTCCAACTTATCCTGCATCAGTTACACAGAAACTAACAAATGCAGGTAATCTAACCTCGTCCTTGCTGCAAACAGCAAAGGAAATATCTACCAGCTGTTTTTAATGTCATATGAGGACGAACTGAAAAAGAAATCACAAAAATAAAAACTAAAAGTTCTGAACTTTTACACTAAAAAAGAAAACCATCTAGATTTACGTTGGATCAACTTAAACCTGCAAGTGACCTAAAGTGTGCATTTTTGAAAAGAGGTTTTTCTTTCGTGTTTTAGTTAGGAGGGAAATGCTTAAGAATAATGATAGATTTTTGTTTTAATCTATAAATCCAAACTGGCGGACTCTTTATTACACAAGTAAGGTGTCCACTTCTAATTTACAGAGCTGATATTTTAATTTTGACTTTTTAAATCCTAGACAATAACTGGGAGTAATCACGTCTAAATGCACATTTTCTGTATTCTGAAAAAAAAATTGACTTAAAGAGGTGGATGCAGTTCCTACGTCCACCTGCAGGTGTCACTAACCCAGATACAGCCACAACCTCTGCACAGGATTTCAGCAATTAGACAACCAGTTAATCAAAGTGGTGCAACTTTTTGCAGACTCTGGCAGCGTTTGAGAGTCCAACACAGAGGTCCCTTTCCGTTTGAAGGTTCAGTGGTTTGAAGGACTTTGTGACTGACCCTCGTGGTTGAGCGTGGCTCTCTCCATGCGCCTGTACCAGAATTTAACTTTGGTATTCTTCATCATGTCATCAAACGCCTCGAGGCCTTCCATCACTCTGAGGACTCCAAACACTGCCTGTGGACGTGTGACATCGGACTCTAAATCAAAACTCAATTTTCATGGATTTACTTTGTATTTCTAACATTGAAGTAGAAGCTAAACTGGTGGTGAAGACGGAGAGCGTTCCCTCACCAGGTCTGCCAGGTTGGGCTGATCTCCACCCATGAACTTTCTGCTCTTCCCAACTGCTGCCACCCAGTCGTTGACTGCCTTATACAGATCCTGCCTGACGTCGTCCTGCAGGTTGTGTCTGTTGAGTCGAGAAGAAGTTCAGCCCTTTAAGTCCCACTATTATCTTAGATGGAGTCAGGACAGTCAACTTACCGACTTTTCAATCGTTTTGAGATGATGAACATTGCTGCTGCTCCTACGTATTTAGCAAAGAAGCCTTCCACAGTACCGAACTTGCCTTCACGTACGATGTAGTCGAAGGAGGCCAAGGCCTCGCCGGTGGTCCGGTACACGTTTGGAGATATAAGGTGCACAAGCCAATCATCAGCCCATTGACGCCACTTCATCTCCTCTCTGGGACAAAAACTCATTTTTACAGGCGTTAAGGTCTATTGCAGACTCTCCTGTTTATTGTCGTGCTATTTCATGCTAATTGTAAAGCACATTTAATTGCCCGTGTGTGAAATGTGCTATATAAATGAAGCTGCTTTGCCTATAGTACCAAAAGGTCTGTTCTGTCTCTGACCAGCTTTCTCATGTGAGTTAGTGAGTTGTGATGACTGTTGACAAATGTTTAGTCTCAGAAAAGCTGGTTAAACACAACGTAAGCTTAGACACACCCCTTAAATTGGCATATTCCAACCCAATTGCTGGGTTTCACTCACATGACTGCCATTGTGCGAAACTCAAATGAGGAACACAAAGTGTTTTGCTCCACAAAAACACAGCACAATGATGAATTTTTTTTTACTATGGATTTAAATGTCATGGCTCAGATGTGATATCAGCCAAAGCTACTGCTAACACCATCCAGAGCAACTGCTGACACCGGCCAGAGCTACTGCTAACACTAGCCAGAGCTACTTCTAACATTGACCAGAGCTACTTCTAACACTAGCCAGAGCTACTGCTAACACCATCCAGAGTTACTTCTAACACTAGCCAGAGCTACTTCTAACAATAGCCAGAGCTACTGCTAACACCACCCAGAGTTACTTCTAACACTAGCCAGAGCTACTGCTAACACCACCCAGAGTTTCTGCTGACACCAGAGTTACTGCTGACACTATCCAGAGTTACTTCTAACACTAGCCAGAGCTACTGCTAACACTAGCCAGAGCTACTGCTAACACTAGCCGGAGCTACTGCTAACACCATCCAGAGTTACTGCTGACACCATCCAGAGTTACTTCTAACACTAGCCAGAGCTACTGCTAACACTAGCCAGAGCTACTGCGAACACCATCCAGAGTTACTGCTGACACTTGCCAGAGTTACTGCTGACACTTGCCAGAGTTACTGCTGACACTTGCCAGAGTTACTGCTGACACTTGCCAGAGTTACTGCTGACACTTGCCAGAGTTACTGCTGACACCGGCCAGAGCTACTGCTAACACCACCCAGAGTTTCTGCTGACACCAGAGTTACTGCTGACACTATCCAGAGTTACTTCTAACACTAGCCAGAGCTACTGCTAACACTAGCCAGAGCTACTGCTAACACTAGCCGGAGCTACTGCTAACACCATCCAGAGTTACTGCTGACACCATCCAGAGTTACTTCTAACACTAGCCAGAGCTACTGCTAACACTAGCCAGAGCTACTGCGAACACCATCCAGAGTTACTGCTGACACCATCCAGAGTTACTGCTGACACTTGCCAGAGTTACTGCTGACACTTGCCAGAGTTACTGCTGACACTTGCCAGAGTTACTGCTGACACCGGCCAGAGCTACTGCTAACACTAGCCAGAGCTACTTCTAACACTAGCCAGAGCTACTGCTAACACTAGCCAGAGCTACTTCTAACACTAGCCAGAGTTACTGCTAAAACTAGCCAAAGCTACTGCTAATGTCCTCATTGAATGAGAGGAAAACAACAAAGAAAGTCACATGTAATGTTCCAGGATGTACTGGGAATATCCAGACTTGAATGAAAGCTAGATGCATCCATAGCTTGCCTATGGAATAATCTGGATACTGTACATGGCTGTAGAGTTTTTAGCTTCAGGGAGCATCATAGTGCCATTGGTGTAAACTGGCCAATCAGCACACAGATAATTTAATATGTCTTGGCAGAGTGGGTGAGGCAACCAAGTCTTCATTATAGAGCAGGGGTATTCAATTCTGGTCCTGGAGGGCCGGTATCCAGCATGTTTTAGTGGTTTCTCTGGCCCAACACACTTGATTCAGCGGTTGAATCACCTGTGCAGCATTAATAAGACTGTTAATCACATGCTGATTGAAATAAGGTGTGTTGAAATGGAGTTAAAACTAAAACAGGCTGGATACCGGCCCTCCAGGCCTGGAACTGAATACCCCTGTTGTAGGGCTTTATTATGGGATTGTACTTGGTCATTAATCACGACTCCTGGGTCATTGTGCGTTTTTTCTGTTATAGAGTCTCACAGAACAGATTCCTGTTGTGAAAACAAAGTTTTTTCCAGATTTTCTAGTTTACTCACAATGAACTGTAAGTTAAATCATTGCACAAACACCATATTTCTGACTTATCGTTGACCAGAGCTAAACAGGAAGTTCAGATAAGAGCCTACTTACTTCTGCATCCCCTTCTCAGGGTAAAGTGCTCCGGTCTCAGCCTCGCTCAGCATCAACCAGTACTTGTTGTTGTACTCCATCACCTCCTTCCCTCTTTCGTTCAAAGACTTCATCTCTGGGTAGCAGCGGACAATGTCAGACATTTTTTTCTCCCTGAATCACACAAATTTCAGGTTTTTAAATTCAACCCTGCTGAGGTTTGGTCGTGTTGCACTGTTTATCATACCTGCAAACTTGTAGCTTTTTGGCGAAAATCACCATTTTTGAAACCAAATAAGGTGTTCAGTCGCTATTTCTAAGAATCCATTTTCAGAGAAAGGCAGCTTTGTTTTGTTCATGAACGTTTGTTGTGGTGGGTCGCAGAAATACAGACAGTATTCAACCCTGTTAAAACCTCATTTTAACAACAAGTATTTTTCCAGTCAATCAATCAAAATTTATTTATGAAGCGCTTTACAATATTAAAAACAACCAGACAGCAGTCGGTTTCCCACCCCTCCCACACAGATTCACATAACAGATCCCCTTTGTTTCTCCCTCCTCCCACCCTCAATCCCATCCCAAGCAGATGCAAACTCCCGCACACACACACACACACATGCACGCGCACACACGTAATAGAGAAAGGGCAGCTGGCTGAGTGCAGATGTAGTAGACACAAAGAAGACGAAAACGCCATCAAAGGAGCCAACCGCACCAGGATCACCAAGATTGGCAGCAATAGCCCTGGCAAGAGTAGACATGGGAAGCACCCCGGCCGCCACAGCCCACCGCTGCCCCCACAGAGGAAACACTAGTTTACTAATGAGACTAAGATAACAGTTAAGAAACAAATTAAAAATAAACAGCTGATAAATAAAAATCTAAATAAAACACAGTGATAAAAGATAACCAAGTAGAAAACATATAATTACATTTATAAAATATTGTACAACAAAGTATTAAGACTGGCTTAAACTAATAATTATTACAAGTTAAAATAAATATATAAGAAAATATGTGTTATTTAATTAAAAAGAGTAAGTAATAAAACACTGATAAAATATATTTAAAAAAATGGTAAAAACAGGCTAAAATAGATCATTTTAACAAGTATTTTTCCAGTAAGAAATGGCCACCAGTACGCTACAGCCGGTCATTTATAAAGACATCCCAATTAAAGGACACAGTAGCACAACACACGATGAGATAGTTTCATAATGAAGTAACTTTTCTGCAGCACTAAAGCGGAGTCAGGACAACTATTTGCTCTTAGAACTGTTCTATTAAAGAGCTGCTTTTCCCTGCAGCTCCAGCTCATTTTAAACATGAATCCAAACCGACTCCTCAGAGCAGCTGCACTCACAACATCCTCTTACGGATGGTTTCAGTACGTGTGGAATACTTTTAGATGCTTTCATGTTTGGTGTTTTGTCTCATAATTCTTGGAACCCTGATCATTTTTTGATCATTTGATAATTTTTCACTGCTAGTGACGGTCCTCAGCTGTCAGGTGTGTTAAAGCAACAGACAGCTACAGCTTATAAGCGTGGCTCTCCCGTATTCCGGTTAGGACTGACAAAGCTCCTCGGATGAGAAGTGAAACGTCTTCCAAGAAACCTAAAACGTCCTGCTGCCTTCACCTGAACCCTCTGGAATCACCATGACCTGGCTGAATGAGAACCTTCACCAGCATATCTTCTCTGTCCAGCTTGACCTTCAGGTGTAGGTGGACTGCAGAGTCCTGACCTGAAGAGGTGGCTATCCTGTGTAGTGCCATGCATTTGTGTAATTGTTGTTTAGTTTCCCCGACGTAAACATCTGGACAGTCCTCAGTACACTAGACTGCATAAACGACGCCACCGAGCTTCTGTTTGGGTGTTTTGTCTTTAGGATGGACCCGTTTCTGTCTGAGGGTGTTGTTGGGTTCGGAGAATTCTGTCAGTTCATAATATATTTTCTATTTTTCTGAGGTGAGGGACTGTCTAAACCTCGTGGTAGAAAATTGTTTGCATTTTGCAAAAAAAAAAAATCACATTGGTGATGTTTTAATCATTATTCCTGCAGAACACTGCAGCAATAAAAAGTATGAGAATGTCAGAGGTCACTGCAAAACCCACTGATGCAAATCTGCAGCATGCAGACTCACTTGTTGGTCATAAACGTTCTGATGGAGCTGATGATGACTGATGAGTCGTTGAGTTGCTGCAGATAAGGAGGACACAACGGACAATTTAAGCACCTTCCACATTTTAATGACTAGAAAATCAGTGTACTCCTTTTAGTGTGTGAGCTTCTCACCAGCTCTCCGTCCACCATCAAGATGGGCACTTTTCTGTAAGATGACCATTTGATCTCCTGCCTCATCACCGGGTTCACCTCTACAATGTCATACTCCAGGCCGTAGTAGTCCAGAAAGGCCCGCACCTTGCTGCAGAACGGGCAGGTCTTGTACTGGTACAGAGTCAGCTTCAAACCGTCGCCAGACACCTGAAACGAGGCTCCATTATCCTGTCACATCAATTCATTTAGTTTTTTATATGTATATATATAGCACCAAATCTCAACAAGAGTCATTTCAAGTCACTTCACAAAGAAAATATTCCAATTGAACCTACTTATTATTGGTAAAACGTTTCCTATATAAGGATCCCAGCAGGTTGCATCGAGTCACTGACTAGTATCAGAGTGCCTCGCTGAGCAAGTATGCAGGGACAGTGGAGAGGAAAACTCTCTTAACAGGAAGAAACCTCCAGAGGATCCTGGATAAGCAGCCTCAATGCTAAAACTGTGAGGACTCTCAACTTCCACTCATTCTCGTGACTTTATAATTGCTAACCCTAACACCTCCCCTCTAAAAACAAGTATCGGGGATTTTTCACTGTGAGGACCTGCTAAAATGTTCCCACATTATAGGTCAAGTCAAAATGTGTCCACACACACACACACACACACACACACACACACACACACACACACACACACACACACACACACACACACACACACACACACACACACACACACACACACTTGTTAACAACTGAATATGTTTTAAGGGGGACCGCTACTGCTCCAGGAAGGCCTCACACACAAATTTGACCCCGAACCGGATCCCGAACTCACCTTTCTGTCCTCGTCAGCCAGGTGCTGCTGCACGGACAGCTTTACCGTCTGATATAAACCTAAACCTCCACCTAACAGAAAAGCGCAGCCCAGCGCACTGCCTGCTCCTGCCCGCACGGAGGTGAGCAGTTTGGACCGAAATCCCGGTTCGCCGGTACTGTACGCCCTTCTAGATCCGTGTGCGCCCACATTTCCCAGTAGGTAGGAGATGGTACCGGAACGAGTCTCCAGAAAACACCGGCCGACCTTACCGAGCCGTCGCACACAGGCGGCCGCCATGTTTGCTTTACGTAAAGTTCCACAATGCATTGCGAAGGTGGTCTTAGGGCTATACTGCCCTGAGTTCAGTCTGACAGGATGTTTCCATCAGACAAAGGCCTAAACGCAACCTGTGACAGTTTAAAGAACAAGTCACACATAAATATTTATTTTGCTGATAAACAGTATAAATGAGTGCCTAATAGTGCTGTGGTCACGCGTAGTCATCATTTTGACACATTTTTGGCCTGAAACTGTCACTGTGGCATCGCTAAGCCAGTGGTTCACAAGTGTGTGTGTGTGTGTGTGTGTGTGTGTGTGTGTGTGTGACTAAAAAGTAATAATAAAATGGAGCATATCTTGTTGATTTTTTGTCTTAACCTGCACGACAGCGGCCAAACATTCTATGTGAGACAGGTGTTTCTGTTGTTTGTCAATCAAAACCCAATAAAGATCAAAGACATACTCTGAAAATGAACTCTGACCTCGTTCCACTTGCTTGGACGCAGTGCTGTCTCGAAGGCGATTAATAGTATGCAGGTGAAACTTAGGTAGACCAAATGATGGTATTGATGTGGGATTGAAAAAAAAGAATGCCAGAAAGACATGCAACTTTAAACGAATATAAAATGAAATGTTAAAAGGCCGGTGCTAAATTAAAATAGATTATATTTACAACATGCTTACGAGAAGTACAAATCATTCTAAAGTACAGCATTAAGCTAAAGATACAATTACACCAGCGTTTTCTTGGGTACATTTCTGCTTTTGTAATGGTTTGTAGGTAAAAAATCTGTAAAATACATCAAATAAACACTTCTAACTGATCTGAGGTCTGTTTAAAAGTCCAGTTTCGTTCCAGCCGTGATGCGTTCAGGAGCGTAGTTTTTCCCAGCGATTCCTCAGACCGCATCTTGTCTCGCTGAGTGGAGGTTCCTCGCCAACAGCAGCATCCACAAATGTGTCACAGTGGCTGGACCCCCACTTCACCCCTCGCCTCGGATTCCCTTCTCCCCAATAAGATGTCGAGCCACGGCGATGGTTTGTCGGGGAGAGCCGATGCCAGCGGACGTCTTACTCTCGGACTGTTTCGAGCGTGACTGGAAGGGAGCGGAGCGACAATGGACGAGGATACAAGGGGACAAATAAAATTCTGATTTTCTCTGCGTTTAGCGGGCTGACGCTAGCAGGCTAACTAGCCTTCGGTTCGGCGCTTGTTTTCACCTCTGGTCACCGACAGTGGAAGTTTTCTCCACCGAACAAACGCTGCAGAAAACCTTTTACACTGATGCTGAGACATGCTGGAGTCGCTTCTCTCGAGGATAAAAGCATTGTAGCGATTTAGCCTCCCACTGGCGACGCTAGTTAACCGTGAGCATCAGTAACCTTCATTTTTTTCTTGGGTTTTTTCTCCTTGTTCTGCTGAACGATGCTGACAGAACCGGAGGCTTTCTAACGGGGAACCTGCTTGGACACTCACTCCATGAAGGTCATGATACTGGGAGAATGATAATGCTTGAAAAACAGGTAAGTAAGCAGCCATCGGGCTTATGTTTAAGTACACACCTGGGCTCATTTACATAAATCACAGGGGCATTACTGGAGCCCATCATGGGCATTAATGGGATCCATCAGGGGCGTTACTGGAGCCCATCGTGGGTGTTGCTGGGGACCATCGTGGGTGTTGCTGGGGAACATCAGGGGCATTACTAGGGCCAAATCAAGGGCGTTACTGGGACCCATCATGGGCATTAATGGGATCCATCAGGGTCATTACTGAGGCCCATCGTGGGCGTTACTGGGGCCCATCAGGGGCGTAACTAGGGCTCATCAAGGGCTCTATTGGGGCCCATCATGGGTGTTAATGGGATCCATCAGGGGCGTCACTAGGGCCCATCACGGGCGTTAATGGGATCCATCGGGGTGTAACTAGGGCTCATCAAGGGCTTTATTGGGGCCCATCATGGGTGTTAATGGGATCTATCGGGCGTTACTAGGGCCCATCACGGGCGTTACTGGGATCCATCAGGGGTGTTACTGGGATCCATCAGGGGCATTACTGGGATCCATCATGGGCGTTAATGGGATCCATCAGGATCGTTAATGGGATCTATCAGGGGAGTTAATGGGATCCATCAGGGGAGTTAATGGGATCCATCAGGGGCGTTAATGGGATCCATCAGGGGCGTTAATGGGATCTATCAGGGGGGTTAATGGGATCTATCAAGGGCATTAATTGGATCCATCAGGGGCAATAATGGGATCCATCAGGGGCGATAACGGGATCCATCAGGGTCGTTAATGGGATCCATCAGGGTTGTTAATGGGATCCATCAGGGGCGTTAATGGGATCTATCAGGGGCGTTAATGGGATCCATCAGGGTCGTTAATGGGATCCATTAGGGGCATTAATTAGATCCATCAGGGGCGTTAATTGGATCTATCAGGGGGGTTAATGGGATCTATCAAGGGCATTAATTGGATCTATCAGGGGCGATAATGGGATCCATCAGGGTCGTTAATGGGATCAATCAGGGGCGTTAATGGGATCCATCAGGGTCGTTAATGGGATCCATCAAGGGCGTTAATGGGATCTATCAGGGGCATTAATGGGATCCATCAGGGGCGATAATGGGATCCATCAGGGTCGTTAATGGGATCCATCAGGGGCGATAAAGGGGCCCTGCACCTCAGCAGCAGCTTGAATTTGATTAAATTGCATTAATAGTGGGTGAATTTGTGCCTCTCTCTGTTGTTTTTTAAATTAGCTAATAAGTAAAAAAAAACATTATACAGTAAATAAATGCTCATTTCTGTTATTAAATGACACGTTCTGTTTTTGTAGCAATCATTTGTTTAGGACAAATCCAATTTTATTTGATCTACATTTCCCCATTGGCATATGCATTTCCCTAGCTCCTCATCCTCATCACACGTTTCGGTTTTAAGAGTCTAAAACAGAAACGCTTTGGGAACTTATTGGATAAAATAGTATTTATTTTTCTGTTTTTGATGGCTTATAATAGTCTGAGCAGCAGACTGGAAGCTCTTTAGGAAATGTCCTTCATCTCATAACCTCCTCAGCTGAGGAGCTGGAGGGGTGTGAATGACCTGAGGATGATGATGATGATGATGATGATCCTTTACTCAGGGACCAGACGCCAGAGCTGACAAGTCCTTCGAGCTTCAGACTCACCAGACTGGTGACACGTCTCGGAGAAGAGTCTTCTTTAATTGAGCTGCTAGTTTATCTGATCGACCAGCTGTTGCGAATATTGACAAATCCATTTCATGATGGTTTAAGCACTTTTGCCTTCTGGTGAGCATGAGTGTGATGCGTTTGTGTATGTGTGTGTGTGTGTGTGTGGGGGGGGGGGCTCTGTGATATTTTGAGATGTACTCAGCCCACTGCATGCTGGGATTTCAGCCACCTGTGAATCCGACTCATGAAATTACCAGGAAAAAGAGCCGAGACAAACGTAAAAGTCCTCCTAGTTAGCTGCTGATTTACAGTGTACTGATTTTAGGACTTCTGTGTCATTTGTTCACATTTGAGTCTCCGATATTTTACATTTATTTTGCTCGATGTGAGGAAACAGATTCTGATTTAATGAATAACAAAGATCAGGAACCTTTTATTGCTCTTTTGTTCCATTTTCTTTTAACATAATCTGAATACTTCATTTCTTGTTTTTGCAGCTTACTAAACTTAAAACTACTTAAAATGTAGATTATGAATTAAAATTCCGTATCTGTAAAGCAAAAATGTACAGTACAGCATTTCTGGCAAATATGCAGTGAACTTGAGTCTGCAGTTATTAGACGATTCGGTCTCGTGCAAGCTTAAGAACTGCATGTGTGCCGACAGCTTTTATCACCTTTACAGGTACAGGTACTCTAAGTCACGCCCATATACTTCTGCGCCATGGATCCCCAACTCTAATCCCGGGTGACTTGTGCCTTGGATCACACACATCTTTGACTCTGCTGCCAAGGAAGTGCTTAGTTTTGACAGGCAGCAAAAGATATTTTAGGTTTTGTGTGAGAAGATGTAGCAGACTACAAATGTTCTCCTCACCAAATTGGTGTCAATCAAATAAGACGTGCAGAGGAAAAATGGCCGAGTTTAGCGAGCTACCAATCCTTCTTCCAGGACAACACAAGGAGCACTAAACGTGGATAAAAGCACTCTAAACCCAAGCCCCCACAATAGGGGGGGAAAGATTGAGGCCAACGCGGAAGTGACAACAATTGCAGTTCCACCCTCATCCACTAGGGGCTGGTGTCCGAAGCGAGCAAATCCTCATTGACTCCCATGTTAAAAATACCAATTTCACAGCAGAAATAAACATGTTTACAGCCTGGTACCAAAACATGTTTTTGGTTTAAATGATCTAGTTTACACTCATGACAACTCTGAGGGGGGTGAATTTATTTCTCACTCTTCTGTTTAAGTGTATTAAAAGCCTAAAATTCGGTATAATTAATGAACATCAGACCCACGTGACCACAGAGCTAGCTCCGTGGAAAGGCCTCAGTAGAGCCTCGGTCTGGCCTGGAAACTGCTCCGGGATTTTGAGTCTCTCAACTTAGACCATTAGTTGTAGCATTTGTGCGTTCTTATTTGGATATTATTTGTGCAATTGTTGGACAAAATGACTTGCTGCGGCATTAATTGCACTAACAGAGCGTCCAAGGAGTCTCCACTTCATTTTTTTCGGTAAGTAAAAGTATATTTATGTATTTTAGGTCACTGCCGAGCTGAGCTTAGATTTTAACATGTACTGTTTAACCATGAAATTTAAATGTAATAGGGTAAAACCCAGTGCATTTAACATAATGCTGCACGTTAGAAAATGGGTTGGAATATAACATGTTGGTGGAGCTGGATTCCGACTATCGGTTTGTGGAGCTCTCGGGAGACCGATGTTTTCCATCCGTTTCTCCTCGCAGCTCGGCGCATCTCTGTCTGATCGCGGCTTCTGTCTGCTGCACGGGCTGCCGGCTTGTGGAGCTCTGGGATGGAAACCTTTCCACCCGGTTCTCCCCAGCG